GTGTGTGTGTGTGTGTGTGTGTGTGTGTGTGTGTTTGTTTGTGTGTGTGTGTGTGTTTGTGTGTGTGTGTGTGTGTCTGTGTGTGTTCAGGAGATCTGGTGAGTGGGGTGTTGATTCTGATTTGATGGTGTATGTGAATAAATATCAGCAAGTGAAATAATGTTTTGGTGTTTAAAAGATACATTCTATTAAGTGAAAAAAGAAAAAGCATGAAAGTTGTCCTGTTAAATGTACATTATTTGTTATGTAGGAAGTAATTAAAAAAGCAGATTCCTTCAAAATGAAAACGTAACCAAAATTAAATAACGAAGGAAGGAAGAAAGAAAGAAAGAAAGAAAAAAAGAAAAAAAGGAAGAAAGAAAAAAAAGGAAGAAAGGAAGAAAGGAAGAAAGAAAGAAAGAAAGAAAGAAAGAAAAAAAGGAAGAAAGAAAAAAAAGGAAGAAAGGAAGAAAGAAAGAAAGAAAGAAAGAAGGGAAGAAAGAAAGAAGGGAAGAAAGAAAGAAGGGAAGTGGGAGGTGGTTGTTTGCACAAGTGACTGTCTCGGACAGGTAGCCGTTAGAGCAGGATCCACTGTTTGTCGCTAACACAAACAACTGTCATGTCATTTATCTCACACCATTTTCTGTCAACTGTGTTGTTAACCCTATCCGTACGCCCTGGGGTCATTTTGTACCCCCGGGGGTTGTATTCTACACATTTTAGAATACTTCCAGTACGAAGATCTCTTTGAAACTTTCAGTATTTCTCAAAAAATAATTTTGACAGACTGCTATACAAAGTGTACAGATCGGATTAACGAGAAAATTTCCTCTTTGGAAAGTTGTGGCACAGAGTTCCCCACGTCGTATGGGTACGATAGTAAAACACGACATACGAGTAGGGTTAATTATCTGACACAATGTTCTGTCAACTGTGATGTCATTTATGTGGGTGGTTGGCAGGTGCTCTGGTGTGGTTTTCTTCTTCTTTCCTATCAGACTACCATCGTATTTATCTCCCCTCCTCCTTTTTTATGTTTGTTACTCGCTTGTAACGCCTCTAATCTGTGGCACTTATATGACATTATTGTGTTGCAAGTGCTGTAAAACTCTTACTAAATAAATGTAATTTACCTGACCCAATGCTCTGTCGTGTGCCAGGGATCTGAGGGACCTCGTGGTCTGATCGGCCCCGCTGGTCTGCCAGGACTTCAAGGATTGCCAGGACCCCCAGGCTCTAAGGGAGATAGCGGAGAAGCAGGAAAACTTGTGAGTGCCGCTAGGGAAGCTTGTTGCTCATTTTGTTACCGAAGAATTACACAGTTCTCTCTGACATTTTTTAGTTTTCAGTTACTATGACCATGAGGTCAGAAACCAATTTTTTTTTAGTTGTTCTATCAAGATAGTGAGATGATTCGGAGCAGTTATCAAGATATTCAAAGACTTGCATTCGAAAAACCTTGACATGATGTGAAACTCAAAATTTGTATCGTTAAATCTTTCAAAACTTAAAACCTTGACATGATGTGAAACTCAAAATTTGTATCGTTAAATCTTTCAAAACTTGGAACTGAGCAGATAAAACTTTGTAATTTGAGGGCTGCGATTTGTTGATTCAGATTTTATTGGTTTTGTCAGAGGAGTTATACATTTATAGTTCTTTTATCGACTATAATCTTTTTTTAAAAATCAAGCTCATACATTGCATGATAATGGCTCATTTACATAGCTAATTTATTGATGATTGGTTTTGTCAGATGAGTTATAATTTTTTGTTCTTTTATCGACTTAATCCTTTTTAAAAATCAAATTCATACACTGTATAATTAGCGCTCATTGATATTTACATAGTTGTATTTTAAAAATTCATATCGAAACATGACTCTGTGTGTACACGCCTTATTCTGTTGTGTAGTTTAAAAGAATTAATTTACCTCTCATTTGTTTATAAAAGGCTTATTTCTTTTGTGATTTCTACGTGTTGTCCTACATAGGGAATCTAAAGAAATGAGTGATGGGGAAAGATCAGGGAAACGTAGCTTTTTTAAGAGCATCCGAGCAAAGGAAGAAATAGAGACCCATGATGGCCAATGTCTGTCGCAGATCTGGCACTGGAAGATGATAATGACTCATTATCATTTTTTTGCTTGTTTAGATTTTTTATTTTTAACTTAGTGCATTGTTGTTGTGCTATGTGTTGTTGTTATGATTGATCCAGCACACACACCTTGATACATCTGACCCCAACTGACCCCAAGTTTGACCTTTCCAGGGGCCACCAGGATCTCCAGGACCTCAGGGTAACCCCGGAACCCCCGGAGCTGCTGTGAGTGACTCGCCTATCTGTGGCTGAAATCTTTCTCTCAGTTGAAAGTGCATGTTATACAAAAGAAGAGATTTCTGAAAGAATTGCTTGTCTTCAATGTTTAGACTTTGTCTTCAATGTTTAGACTTTGTCTTCAATGTTTAGACTTTGTCTTCAATGTTTAGACTTTTCAATTTCTCTTTTACTGGAGAATTGCTTTAAAAGATTTGATCACCAAAGTGTTAACAACTGATGATTTTGTAGGCCTACTTTTTTATTTAAAATTTTTATTTTTTTATTTTACAGTACACAGATCATAGATCAAAGTGTTAGCTTTTCCTACACCTTTCACTTTTTGGATGGAATGCATTTTGTTACAAAGCCTTCATTTGTGCTGGTATATTTGTGCTTCCTTGAATTGATCACTCATATGGTCTCCACATAACTCCTTACATCAGATAGTTTGTACCCGCTCATAGATGAACACATTGGCACATTCCTAATACTCACTCATATACCTGCTCATATACTTAAACAACAAACACACACATTCATGTTCACAAACACATCAACATCCATGCATAAACACACACCTACATTCTCTGAACTCTAAGAAGCTGAACCTATTTATAGAACGATAAATCCTTATAAGAAGAATTATTTGACTCTGGTTAATTGCTGTTTTTCTTATTGTTGTTATTGATCCAGCAACAGCTGGGCTCTTGTCCTTCTGTCCAATGCCATGATCTCAGTTAATTACGCACACTGACTTTTTCTATAAAATTGTTATCCCCCCCCCCC